CGGATCCAGACATTTGAATTGAGAAAGCTTCCTGGAGAGGTGGCGAAACGTCTTCAAACTTTGGAAACCAAGTCCAGTGGATTTTTTGAATTTTTACGGAATCTTTTTTTTTTGTCTCAAATAAAAAAAAAACTGCCTGAATATACAGAGACCTACAACATCCAAGTTAAAGAAATATACATTAATGCTATTAATGCAGCGTAGCAGATGGTAACTAAAAGCATTGCACATAGTGTGAGTTCATCAAACCAATAGTTTAAAAAGACAGGTGGTGTAGTCTGGACAGTGATTCAGGCCAGCAGGTTAAGCTCAGTGATGTCAACAGGAATGAAGGGTACCCTGGTCTGCTCTGTTATTACTTGAGGCTGCAGCCACGTGGAAGGAGGTCAATTCACTAAGAAATGGATGTTTAAGAAACCTGAAGATATAATCAACCTGACTTCTTACTCGCTTATAGTATATATGTTGGAGCTTGGCTTCCTGCGCTTCTTCACCTTGCGCCTCATCATCCTTTTGTCACGAGACAAGGAAAGAATGGCAAACCAAGCCACAATCCCATAAGAGAGAACAGATGTAATCAAATACTGATAGAAAAAAGGTTACAAACTTTAAAAGCACTACAATGTCTTGCAAAGAATAGGTTCTCTTGGATCATCTTCCACTCAGCTGTTTGTTAATTCATACAATAAACACAATGACATCAATCATTGATCAATTCTAAAGAGAAAAATAAATTATAGCTTCAGTGTTTTGTGGAGATCTTTTAGGGTTACCAATTACTGTGATGCTAGTAATTTTATTTATAATTTAGTAAACAATAAAAACATATTTATAACAGAATAAACATGTGTTTTCCAAAAAAATCCTGTGTGAATCTATGCTCCAGCAGTTTCTTTTCTTCAGAGTTTTATTAATGGAAATCTACTAGAATATTGCATATCTAAAAACATAAAGTAAATTATTGACCTATTTCTGAATTAATATATTTAGAAGCCTTTAGTTAAAATGTAAACAAAATAAATGTGATGTGAATGATATATAGTTTATGAACACACATATACCTTGCGTGGGCTGTTGTTTCTCCTAGCAGCCCTTTTGCCAGGAAGCAGATCAAATGAGAATTTGGAGTTTAAGACGTTGAAGTCGACACCTGTAGGAAAGATAAACGGAGATGGAATTATGGCAAAATGATCCTGGATCATATAAAAAAATTTGCATTAAAACAGGGAGGAAAGGGGGCATTATACAGAACTCTAACAATACTGATAAAAATAAAAAATAAAATCTCTCAGCGGCTCAATATTTGAATGTGTAGCTGACATTATGATCTGTACCGTGTTTTGGTGAGAAGAGAGGTGACTTGCAGCGGAGTACGGTCTGATCCGGTTCAGGCCGAGGCGCCACCAGCTGTATGGGTCGAACCTGGACATCTGCCAGCTTCTTCAGACACTGCTCTCTGTTTCTAATCATGCACTGAACCGAGCTCAGCTTGTCCTTCACCATAGTGATCTGGGACTGTAAAGAGAGCAAAAAGTGTGAAATCTCATAGCTGGTGAGACAAGTGACTGACATAAGAACAGCTACCTGCAGCTGTGGTGTGAGTACAGCTTCAAACTCCAGGCTCACGGTGTCTTGACTGTTTTTTAGAACAGATGGCGCCCTCTCCTGGTGGCTGCTCAGGTACTGCAGCGCTTCCTGAGCTCCCTCTTTGGTTTGGAACTTGTCCACCATCTGACTGGCGAGCAGATAAGCCCCCTCATCACACCAACGAAGAGCCTACTCAGAACAAAAAAGAAACAAATACAAACTTCCTTTTAATTAACAAAGACATTTTCTCAAATTTTAAACATGAAGAAATAAACAGCAGATATCAGGTTAGTGATTTATTTCTTTTTACCTCCTCAAGGCGCACCAGCAGGTCTCTTGTACGGGTGAGCGAAGCTCGCTTGGTGCGTATGGCAGTGCTGATGACATCACAGAGATGTCGCAGCTCGTTGCAGCGCTGGACGATGAGTGCCAGAGCGTAGTGGTGGTTAGCAGCCAACTGGTGACCATGCAAAATCACAACCTGGGCACGAGTCATCTCTTCCTGAGGTACAAAAACACATGAACGTTTTACTCCCTAAGTCAGAACTGGATATATATCATACGCTTTATCGACATTTTCTAATGTTTCTGCAGACTAATGCATCGTGTAATATCCTTTAGGCAACGTCACCCTTGGTACACTGTGAAAAGATGTTCACGTTAGAGCATATACTGATTAAGTTTTGTCTATTAATTCAAAGTAGAACTCAGATTGTTAGGGCAACAAACTTGAAAGTGTAAGATTTTTGTCAATCATTTAAGTTTTGCCAAACTTTGAATTATTTGTTATAAATCCATCCATTTTCTGTCATGCTTTATCCCAGGTGGGGTCACGAGAGGTGCTGGTGCCTATCTCTAGCCGTCAACGGGCGAGAGGCGAGGTACACCCTGGACAGGTCGCCAGTCCGTCGCAGGGCAACACAGAGGCAAACAGGACAAACAACCATTCAGACACACACTCACAGGGGAGAATTTAGAGAAGCCAATTAACCTAGCATTTATGTTTTTGGTCTGTGGGAGGAAGCCGGAGTACCCGGAGAGAACCCACGTATGCTCAGGGAGAACATGCAAACTCCAAGCAGAAAGACCCTGGGCCGGGAATCAAACCCAAAACCTTCTTGTTGCAAGGCAGCAGTACTACCCACTGTGCGGCCCATTGTTTTGTTATTGCATCTAGAAATAATGTTTTTTTCTAGCTTATGTGAAAGTACTGGTGACTTATAAAAGGCAGTGACAAACTACAAATGTTAAAACTCTTACATAAGAATCATACTTTTTATTTAGACCTTTTTGTCCCTTAAAGGGGAAAGTGAATTTACATTTTTACCTAACCCCTTTTTTTGTTTCAGGGACAGTAAGAGTCTGAGTTTTGAACCTCCAACCTTAACAGCTCCTCCTAGAAGATTGCAAACCACTAGGCCAAATCATGGCAGTCTTGATTGGTGGAAAGCTGCCAATAATTAAACGCTAAATTTAAAAAAGAATTTCATAAAATGCTTTCTCTCATTATACAGAAGATTCAATGTTATTTTAATTGGCAGCAATTCTTTAGCAGCACTGTATTGTTAAAAGTCAACATTAAAAGAACTAACTAAGTAACTAAAAAGCTAAACTCAATAGTTGGTTTTCTCACATTTCACAACAAAAACACATACGTTTGCTGAAATAACTAATAAAGGTGTAAAGTAGGGCTGCAACTAACTATTATTTTGCAAATCGAATAATCCGTCAGTTATTTTTTAGATTAATCGATTAATAATCGGATAGGATAAAGGTTTCTTAAAGATGATTTTTTTTACAAAAGTAAACCAGGTCAAGCTAAAACTATTCTACCTGAGGAGTTCTGGATGGAGCATATTGACAGATGAAATTTTTTTTTAATGTTAAATGCAAAATGTTTATGTATTTTTTTTTTTTTTTTTTACAATTTTGATATTATTATTAATCCAAGTTGGTCACTCTGTCAGCTAAAGACATGTTTTAGAGTCTCGACACTCCAGTTTACGATTAATCGATTTCTAAATTAGTTGACAATTATTTTAATAATCAATTAATAACGATTAATCCGATCAATTGTTTCAGGCAAATCTCTTTCTAATGTTAAAGATACTCTGAAAAGACTCACGGTGTTGTCTCTATATTCAACACTTATTTTGTTCTGTTTTTTTAGTTAAAAAAAAGACATGTTACAACAGTGCAAACGTTACCTGTGAGTCAACTGACGTATTTGTTACTTAAAAACCCACCAGCCTTGAAAAACAGAAAGTTAAGCTGTTCAAATCTACACACTTCTAAAATTTAGCACTGTTACTATAAATCATATGTGTAAAATTCACAACCTGCAGGAAAAATGCAGCCCATCAGAGCAATCTATCCTCAAAACCCAAAAAAAGTACATCAGGCCATAAAAAGGAGGCATGTGTAATATTGAGATACAGTCCAACATTGTGGCGAGGTGCATCTATTTGTGTTTCGTGACCTGAGCACGTTTATCCAGACTGTCCAGGTCTTTAAGTAGCTGCTCTGTTTGAACAACGGTAGTTCCCACAGAGGCGATTTCCTTCTCCTGGGCAGAGAGCCGCTCCAGCACCTCATCCATCTACGTTCAAACAGACAAAGCACAGGAGTCTAAATCGAGAGGCTGAGGTTAAATTTACTTTTATGGCAGGAGAAGCAGAACACCAGTTGTCCCACCTGATGGAAGCTGCTTTCATAATGCAGCAGCTGGAGGTATTGCTGCAGCTTCAGGTGATGTTTTTCAAAGAAACCATCAAATGCCTCCTCCATGTCTCTAAGCTGTGCCAGGAGCCTAGAACACACACAAACAGACTGTCCTTGGATGATGAAGGACGTGCAGCCTCTAAGCCCTTCTCACATGAATCCCACCTATGAACAGTCTCCATGTCGGCTTGTATTTCCCTCTCCTCAGCAACGTCTCTTTTAGCAGCTTTAAGCGTTTCCAGGTTTGACAGCAGCAGCCGTCCTTCTTTCAGCACCCCCCGGATATCATCCTGTAAAAAAATAGGCAGCAAAGCCATTCACATTTTACTAAAAAAAAAAGGAAAACAAAATCTTGAGTCATCAATCATTTGTATAATATTTTTAAAAAAGTGAAAAAGATAGTGAGAGAGTGAGGATGTGCTACCTTCATCTGTCTGTATCGATGTGTGTGGGAGTGAAGCAGGAACTCAATGGCATTAGCTTCATCTGGGAGTTCGGTCTCTGACAGCTCAGAGCCAAATCCCTGCAGCTGCTGGGCGATCTCCTTCACTGTCACTGCAAAGGTCTCAATGGACTGAAAACAAGCACAAACTTTCACCCAAACAGATTTGAAAATATAAAAAAAACTGACTCGATGCGGCAGATTAACATCAATTAGGGGTTTACCGATCGTAGAAGGACCCAGTCACTCTGACAATATTCCACCTTTGCAGTAAAATCTGACGCCAGGTGGTTTTCATCGATATAACGCAGCAGGTCACCAACCGAGCGCAGCATCACCACCTGCAGGACGCAGAGCAAAAATAGATCCAGTTAGATAAGCTGAGTAACATTTACAGTCTGGAGATTTAATCCTTATATGAAGCAGATGTTAAATGCAAAGACACATGTACAGGTTCTTTGAAAGTCTCTTACTGGCATCTTTAGCAGGAAGTCATCCTGACTGAAGCGAAAGCCCAGATCTGTGCTGGAGGACGGACTGGGCGTGGAGCTTAACAAGCCGGTGGGGCGAAGCACCAAGACCAAGTGCAGGTTGCCAGGAAAAGAAGTCTGAAAGAAAGTCAACGGTATTCGCTTAATTCTTTCATCAACTCCGGAACTCTTTCCAAAACTGAGACGTAAAACCATCCTACAATAAAATAACTTTCATATTATATTTTAGATACTGCACCCTAAAAGACAGACTTTGTTAAAAAACTGTTAGACTTTTGTCTGCTGGTTCACTCATTTATAACACCTGAGCAAAGCGTATTGTCCCAAATGTTGACATGATATCAGTTAATGATATCAGAGTATGCTGGGGCATGGACAAAAGTTTGATTTCAGAAGCAAACATTTTCTAATATAACTAACTTCAGCGTGTTTGACCATCCAATCACAGACCTGATTCAGTGGCATATCAGATGTTTGTAAAGTGAGCTTCTCAGGCAATTGCAAAAGAAAAGATGGTGGGCCAATAAGGAGCTTGTGGGCGGTCTAAACTCAGGGAAACGGGCCTGACCTGCAGTTTTCCGCTTGGTCCTAGTGCTTGACAAATGTAGCGTACCGTAGAGTAACATTGTTTTTGGACAGTAAAACGTGCAGGGGACCAAAATGGTTATTTGAAAAACTGCAGGAGACATGTCCCAATACTGTAAGCATATCTTGATAGCTTTTTTGTTAAAAAACTTGATTAACTTAAAGGGGAACGCAGGTTTTTTCACATTGGGTCACAACTGTCACAACACCAGTCCGGCGCGTGGATGACTTCATACACGCCTACATGTTATTAATGCTGGCGTACCATAAAGAACAAATTATGAACAGTTTAGTTTGTGCCTTCAAGCTGTTGCCCACAGGAAGACGTTACTTGGATATAACCTAACGGAATATCTTCAGAACAGCTCTAAGTAGAACATGATGTAATAACGTAAAATCAAAGGCTCTATGTAAAAAAAAGGGCATTCCCCTTTAACAGATCCTGCACGAAAGCTGGAAAAGTTGTCATTAAAAAAGTAAATTATGATATTTAACTTACATTTTTCTGAAACACATATCATATTTCTGGTTGCCTTATAGTAATGACATCTCCGTTTTTGCTATTCTCTGCAGCTCTTAACTCAACCACACAGGAGCTTTTGTTTTTTTACCCATTTAACCGTCTTTGGTCCCCATTCAGATATGATTCATTATGCCTTTGTGTTCCCCCTTTTTTTTTTATATTACCTTCCATTAACATGATAAAATATATGAAATATTTCCAGTTTTTGATCTAAAAGAAACTAAAATTCTTATATTTGGAAAATAGGATTAAATGAATCACCCTTAAAATTCAGACAAACACTGAAAATAAAAAAATAAAACAGGTAGAGTGGCATAATTAAGACCAAAGCTGTGATCCAAACTGTGTGTATATATATATATATATATATATATATATATATATATATATATATATATATATATAT